AACACAATAATTACATATATCAGAAACAATGCTCTGAATGCACTTCCTTCCCAAACAATGCTATAAGAATTAGTATTACAAAAACAACTACAATTACAACTAAAAGTTAAATTTGACACAATACTGTTATTTTCATAATATACTTACAGTCCTACAATTCCGAGAAGCCAAACACCTAAATATGGTTTCATTCCTCAGTAGTACAATTTAATGGGTTGGCCTCAGTAGTACGGTTCAATGGGCTCACCTCAGCAATACAATTCAATAGGCTGGCCTCAATACTGATAGGACTAAGTCCCCTTCTTTCAGTCCCTTTCGGGCGCTCTGCAGCTTCAGCGTGAACTAAGAGATTCGTGTTCACGGAGAGGTTGGTTCAGGTGATCAGTCTGATCTGGCCTACACTTGCGATTCTTCCTTCGTTGTTCTGCAAGTATAGTCACCTCCAAATTGGGACAGTAAGTTACAGTTTTTATTGAGTGAGCTGCCGTCTTGGGCCACTCCTACTCAAACCTGTCATTACCCCCAAATTTGGGCTCGGATCTTACTCAACAGATTCTTTTGCTTAGTAATTAGTTTCTTTTGTTAATCATTTTAAATTACTTTTGGGGAACTTCCATACCACTGCAAGTGACCTTTTCTTACCAATTTGATCAAAAGGCTCTAGGGTTTGATCTCTCGGAACTCAGGATATTTGCTAAAGGATCAATTTCAGGTTCTTTTTGTAAAAGACTTCTAAAGATAAAATTCAAGAGTTAAAACTTTAAGCAAAGTCAGGACCTTTTCGCACGTAGTCCAAAACAATGAACTAGATAAGGAGATAAACCTTATCTTCTTCCTGAAACTGGCTAATGGGCAACCATTACAAACATTCAAACTATTTCATTCAATATGACAAGTAACTTTGCAATGCAATATCATAGTTGATATACCAGGTGAAAGGGGCTAGTTGGTTTTATTTACATTTAGTATAAAAATAATGCCACCGGCTGTTCTTAACCTATGTGTGAATAGTTGAATAGCTGGGAGGAAAAACAAGAATATCTTTTTAGTTTATAGGTCTGAGTTGGTTGCTTGCCACCATCTTGTTTACATAAAATGTATCCAATTAAACTTGTCTAGTGATCAGAGAGAGTTTGAAGTGTGATCTTGTGTATTTGCTGGTGTGCAAAACCTAGGAGGACATAGGCTCAGCTTTGAAGCACACTAAGTTTACAACTAAGTTTGGAGAGACAGACCAGCAGTGGCTGCTGAGTATTTTATTTTTTGAGGCCTCTAAAATTTAACATATGCAAAGGACTTGATTGCTAAAAGTGCTGAGCATTTGCCTTCTGAAAAATTGGGCTTGTTTTGTGTCTCATGTTCTGGAAATAAAGTTCTGGCCATGCAGGGATTTGATTTCTTGTGTATAAGTGTCTAGCAGTTCCTGATTTAATGGATTAACACTGGGCATTCTAAAAGAACCATTTAAGAAGAGGTGGGTTGATGTAGAATAGATTGTACTTACTGTACGCATGGGGTTTTGCCTACTGGTTCAATTACCTGAATTGTCTGCAAATGCTTCACAGTCATCCAAGAGCTTCTGATGCTTCACAAATATTTCCATGACTATTGAGTGCAAAAGCCTCTGAGCAAGCCTGGTAAATGCCTCCCCTTACACTGCATCAATGCAAACCCTTTCAGTACTGCTGTAAGTGAGAGTAGTGAAGGTGTTACTTTTTAGTTGGTCTTCCTCATCTGCCCCAACATGCTCTTGGTCTTCCTTTATTAGAGGTCACTCTGCCATGCTTCATGAAGCATGCGCATGAGTTTGAACAAAAGTGTACTTAGCTGGTTGCTAAAGCTGGTGATGCTGTTAGGCAGGTGTGAATGAGAGAGGAGCTTCCCCATCCCCTGATCAGTTTCCATGGGCTTTGGGAGCTATTAGTTCACCCCCTTGGCAAGGATGCTTTGACAAGGATGGTAGGGAAGAGCTAGTTGAACCTCATGAAGGTGCTTGGAAGTGTTCCACCTGCTGGTCACGATGCACAGACTACATACGTCTGTGGATCTGAGGTTAGTCTCCTTGTCTATCTGCCTCTACTAAGGACTAGAGAAATTGTCAAGCTTTTGCACAGTGGACTCAGCTGAATTTTTTGTCAGTGCTTTTGATAGAAAACTGCTCACAGAGGTAGAAATTTTTGCAAAATCTCAAAATAGAAAAAATTGTTGCCAACCCCCCCAAAAGCTGAAGATCAAATTTTGCAGAAAACAGTCCCATTCATAATTTTTTATTTTTTATTTTTACAAGGGACAGAAAAAATTCTTCCCAACTAGCTTCATTGCACAAGTGGCACAACGGTAAGAATAAGGAAGCAAAGAGCTTACATTGTTTAGGGAATCCCAATCTCAAGGTGAGCTTTGAGATGCAGCCTGCCTATTTGTAGGTAATAGGACAACACGTAATCTCATTCCCTTGCCCCTGTTTCCCTCATTCCCTTGCCAACCTGTTTCAAGCAGGTAAGTTCTGCTCCTGACTAGTTATGTGACTGGACAGAACAGAATCTATGGAAGAATGTATTGGAGCAAGTCATCAGCTGGTACATAGGTGCACAGAGATGCTGGTATGACATATTACTATTTTTCATGTAAAAGGCACTCGCT